TTAAATGGAGTCATACAATATGTGTGGCCTCTTGAATCTGTTTTCCTTTACTCAAACATAATGTTTTTTAAGTTCATTCATATTATAGCATGAATCAATATTTCATTCCTTTTTATCGCTGAATAGTATTCCATTGTATGGATATACCACTTTTGTTTAACCATTTACCAATTATAGATATTTGGGTTATTTCCATTTTATAGCTATTGTGAATAATACTGCTATGAAGATTTTTGTACAAGTATTTGCGTGGACATATGCTTTCATTTTTCTTGGTACATGCCTAGGTATGGAATTGCTGGGATCATATGGTTAATCCATGTCGACCATTTGTAAGGACTTGTCAAACTGGCTTTCAGTTCCAGGACAAGATGGAGTACAGGCACTTCTGATTCCTTCTGTGAGGTACAGCTAAACCCTCAAACATTGTTATAAAACAAATAGAAGAAGACTCTGAAAAATGAAGAGAAAAAGGCAGCCTGGCTAGGAATCTCAAGCTCCAAAAAACAACATGGTGGTTAGTTCCCTCAGTTTTCTTTTTGCCTCATACATGAGACTGGGTGCAGAAAAGCCAGAGTCAGGAAACTCTAACACACACACACAGAGACACACACACACACACACACACACACATGCGCCACCCAAAAGTCTCCAGCCAAAGGACCAAGAAATGAACAGCCTAGTTAGAAAACTTTTAGACAATAACTGCCATACTTCAGCCAAATATAACAGAAAAAAATAATAAAACCTGCTGGCAAAAGCTGAGTGAGGAATCTAGATGTCCAGCTTTAACAAGGTGCCCCTCCCACTGCTGGCATGATGTCAGATAAGGCCAGGTGAGAAGGTCAGACTTTCAGCCCTGCCTGGTGGTATCAGGTCCCCCTCCTTCACTGTAAATCAGGTGAGGAACAGTAATGAGGTACTTTGCACTCCCATAGCTTTCTGTGTCACCAGAGGCCTAGCAGGGAGACTGAACAACCAATCCCACACAGCAGTAACAAGATACCTCTTCCAAGTGTCAATAGAGGCCACGTAAGAAACCTGGACTTCTACCCACACCTGACAACAATGAGACAGCACTCCCTTCCCCGCACTGGCACAAAATACATTTAAATAAAATCCAGTCTCATAATGACCAAAATGTCCAGGATACAATAGAAAACCACTTGTCCTACTAAGAACCAAGAAAAATACCAAATTGAACAAGAAAAGACAATCAACAGACACCAACGTTCAAGATGACCTCGATGTTGAAATTATCTGACATGTATTTAAAGCAAACAAATGTTTAAAGTATAAAAAAAGGCTTCAACAAGCAATTACAAACTCACTTGAAACAAGTAAAAAAATAGTCTCATCAAAGAAATAGAAGATATAAAGAAGAACCAAATAGAAATTTTAGAACTTAAAAATACAATAATGAAAATTTTAAACTCAATGGATTGGCTAAAATCCAGAGGAAAGAGTCAGTGAACTTAAAGAGGGGGTTGGGGTATTGGTGAAAAAGGGGGAAAGAATTAAGAAGTACAAATTGGTAGTTACAAAACAGTCATGGAGATATAAAGTATAGCATAAGAAATATAGCAGATAATGTTGTAATAACTATGTATGGTGTCAGAGGGGCACAAGATTTATTGAGGTGATCACTTTGCGAATTATATAGATGTTTATTCACTATGTTGTACACCTGAAACTGATATAATATTTTATGCCAAATATAACTGAAAAATAATATTATTTAAAAAATAAATAAAATTAAAATAAGTCTATCCTTTAATCTTTTGACTCACTGGTTTCACTTCTAGAAATTTAGACTAAGGAAATAATTAGACAACCATGCAAATATGTATGTTTAAGAATATTTATTACAGCTTAGTTTATCATATTTTTAAAGATTGAGATTCACCTAAATGCCCTACAATAGGACATGTGTGTCAATGAACTAGGGTTCACCAAACAGTGGCATACTAGTCAACCATTAACGCGCATGATGTGTTGACTCATGTGTCTCCTGGTGTGATGCATTGCGAAGGACACGCTATCACTTCCATGGTATTCCTGACCAAAAATGCATAAACTGAGGAAGCATCAGACATACCAAAATTTAGAAACAGTACAAAATAACTGACCTGTATTCTTCAAAAATGTTAATATAATGAAAGACACAGAAAACATAAGAAACCGTACTTATGTTAAAAGAGTCTAAAAAGACATGACAACTAAATGCATTGCATGATCCTGGATTCGATTCTAGATAAAAAAAAAATCATCATAAAAAACATTATAGGGCACTTAAAACTAATAATAAAATAAAATGCTAAAAAAAATTATGGAGCAAATGGCAAACATTCAATATGGACTGTAAATGAGATAATAGTATTGTATTAATCGAAGTTTTGATAAAAATAAAATCCTGAGATGTTCTAAATTAAAATTACAGCCACAGGAGAGTGAGAGACAGAGCAATTAGCCTGTTGATAGCTGTGGACCAGCTCTGACAAAAGACTGCTCACATTCCTGTGTATGTGTTGGAATTTACAATTAACTTCCAGGTGGCTTATTTCCACAATTATCCAAAAGAGAGACAAGCCAGGCACCATCAAACCCCAGGAGTCTCCACTTCTTGTTTACACATGAACTTCAAATCTACTGCCCACAGGATTAAAGGATAGACTTATTTATTTTTTTAAGTCAATGACTGGCATTCCTTTCAGATTCTGCTGCCCCTATCCCAGAACTAGTCCCACTTCACCTTCTCCCACCACCTTTGTCTACAACTAACATAAATCCTTTTGGAACGGCTTACATATTTCTCCCAGCTACTTGATATAAAAACGCTTACAAAACACCAGGACTGTGGACATTTATCTTTCCTATCCAGCCATGATGCTGGTGGTATAAACTCCATTCTCCAAGACAGGTCTCCTTTTTGGCTAGCATTTTTGGCTCAATAAAACATTTCTTTTTTAAGACTTTCAGCCATAAAAGTTAAAATTTTTTGTTTAACAGTTTCCTGATTTTGATAGTTGTACTGTGGTTATGTAAAACAATGTTTGTATTCTTCGGAAATTCACACCAATGTGTTTATAAGTAAAGGAATGTCTTCTGTGCAACTTACTCTCAAATTAATGTAGGGAGGAGGCAAGAAAACTAAAGTTTTAAATCAAGCTACATTCAGAAACAGCAATATGCTGATCAGCCCAGCAGCCAGGCCAGGAGGACACCTGCCAAACAAAGGAAGATTTCTGCTGGGATTGCTAACAACCTATTTCTCACACCTGTGAAGGAGAACAGGCAAAAGAGTCTTTAAGTGGCTGCCCTATGCAAAATAAAATCATTCATTGCCTATGGCTAAAACCATAGGGAACCATAGGGATTAAAGGCAGGTAATCGTCAGCAGACCTTTCACACTACATATTCTTACCTTTTCATGTTACTTACTCTTATCCTTCTTCACTGTATGTCCATATGAAAGGAAATGGGCAAACAATCCTTAAACTGTAACTCAAAAGAACTACAGAATGATATATATAAACTGAATTCCCTGAGTATTCAGGGTCCCTCTCAGTGCCTTTGCTCTGTCCCTCTCACTGTCCTCATCTCTCTCTATTGTCTCTGTCACTTTGAGTCTCTCTTAGGTTCTCTCACTCTCTGCCTCTGAGAGGAGACCATGCTCTGTCTGTGGAGTGTTACCCCTTCTCTAATAAACTTTCCTTTTGACTTTAACTTTGGCATGTGTTTGAATTCTATCTACACACTCCATCAAGAACCCTTCTCTCTCAGGGCAGGGCTTGGTCTCTGCCCCCTCAGGAGAATTTGCCCTGTCCTGCTTCAAAATAGTTCAGAAAAAAAACTATATGTATTTAGAAAAATAATAATAAAGCAAACATGGTTAAATGATATCAACTGGTGAATCTGAGTGAAGAGTATCCTGGAATTACTTTTAGTATTAATGCCCTTTTTCGGTGAATTTTAAATTATTTCAAAATTCAAAAAGTTTTTAAAATGGTGCTGGCAAAGTATATTCATCAACAGAGGCAAGTACTAAGGGTGCGCCAGGCTGTGGCGTGGGTACCTCGACGCAGGGGCTGTGCACAGCTGCTGCTGACAGCTCCAGCCACCCTGGACTCTCAGCCTTGTGCTACTAGAGGAACTCTGGAAGTGGCTGACCCCAAAGCAGTCCTGGGTTTACCCAAGAAGATAGGATGAGTCCTGACAAAGAATTCTCTTTAGTGATTTTATTCATTTCAATGTTAAAGTCAATGACTGCCATTCCTGGCACCCAAGGGACCTCTTCAGTAGAGAAAGGGAGACATGGGGCAAGGGAGACACCTAAATGCAGTGTTTACTATGGGTAAACCAGACTGCAAAGTTTAGTGTAGATGTTCATTTATCACTGATGACAATCTTATACACACCCTCCAAAGGCAGGCCAAGATCTTCTCCGAAACCAGCCCAGCCTCTTGCCTATTCCCCAAAAGAAGAAAAGTCCCCAGCAGGGGCCAAGGTAAGGCCTAGAAGTCCCCTGGGTTCCCTCTGCAAAGGGTAGTGGTTTCAACTAATGGAAAGTTGCAGATTCTCTGAGAAGCATCTGTACTTACTTCACAAAACAAGTATCCTCTCCTGAGAGAAGAATAGGAGGTTCCCATCACCCTACACCTCTGTTTCCAGGTCCTGACCCTCCCGGGGCACTGTTGGCCACCCTGTAATTCTCATCTCTAGAAAGGAGAGACCACATCAACAGAAGGGCTGGGACAGTCCCCAGAGACCCCCACCAGCCCAGTTCTCCCCTTCTATCACCTGCCCATCAGCTACACTGTCCTACTCTCCCCACAACCCCAGGGGTTGTCAGGGACAAAAGGCCCCTCCCTAATCTCCCTCAATGTTCCTCCCTCCTTCCCCCCCCACCCCCGCCCCATCATTAGGGTGTCCAGGACATTGTGTGACTCAGGAAACAGCTCAGACGTGAGACTCGCAGCAGGTCGAGGAGGAGGAAGAAGGGGCTGTCGGAGCAGAGGAGGTAGCTCCCGCCTTAGTGAGGGCTCAGAGGGTCCCAGCCTGAAGAGGCAGAGGGGATCTGGGCTTGGGGTCAGGACTCTGGAATGCAGCCCTCTTCATTGTTGCTGCTGCTGCTGTGTCAGTCGGTCATGAAGACCAAAGGTGAGGCACATGGTGGAAGAGGTGAGAGGACCTGTCTTCCTTAGGAGAATGTCTCGTGGGTTGGGGGCAGAGGGCTGAGCCCCACACTTTGTGGTGACACTGGATGGAGGAGAGTCTCACCCCCTAAATGGGGGTAGCCTGCAGGGAGAGACAATTCTGACTTTGCTGCTGGATCTGCACAGACCAAGGCTGTGGGCCTGGTGCCAGGTGGTGACTGTTGGGGGATGGGTGAGAGAGTCCCCACCCCCAGGGAGAACCCAGTTGGCCTTGGAGCTGGGGGACGGCGGACTCTTGAAATCATGTTTAGGAGGGGAAGAGGAACAGACTGATCACCTGCTACAGAAAGAGATAAGAGGGGAGCAGGAGATGGAGACATGGAAAGGTCAAGGGCCCACCAAGTCCCTTTCCCAGTCAGCTGTCCCCACCCCCCTGATGGCTCAATGCTGGGCCCTTCCGGGAGGAAATCCCTTCACTGTCTCAGCCATTCACCTCCCAGGAGTCCACTCAACCCCCCTCCTGATCCCTGTTGTCTTGCTTCCGAGGGATGGAGCCTGTGGCTGGACCCGGGAGGCCAGAGAAAAAAAAAAACAGGAAAAGGTGGGGTGGGGATTAGTAAGAGGCCTAGGATCTAGGGGGTTGGGGCAAGCACCACGTGGGGACTAGGAACAGGGTTGAGAAGGCTAATAGTGGTTTAGGGTCTGCTGCAGGCAGATCCCTCTGGATCACATGGAGGAGGACAAGTGGAGCGCAATGCTTCCTGCTCCCATCTCATCTTTGTCTCCATCCCTAGGGCTGCCGTGTGGGAGTTTCTCAGAACCCTGTGCCAATGGAGGCATCTGCCTGAGCCTATCTCAAGGCCTAGGCACCTGCCAGTGAGTGTGCCTGTGGGAATGGGAGGCAGGAAAGCGGGAGGGAGAGCAGGGGAGGAGAAAGGGAGCACGTGAAGGAGATGAAAGGAAACAAATGAAGGTAAAGGAGGGGGATGGGAGAGAAGGAGAATAGGAGCCAGTGATGTGAGTTTTCCTCTCCTCCCTGCCCAGGTGTGCCCCTGGCTTCCTGGGTGAGACATGCCAGTTTCCTGACCCCTGCCATGATACCCAGCTCTGCCAAAATGGGGGCAGCTGCCAAGCCCTGCTTCCCACCCTCCCAGGTTCCCCCAGCCCTCCCTCTCCCCTGACCCCCAGCTTCTTCTGCACCTGCCCCTCTGGCTTCACTGGTGAGAGGTGCCAGGCCCAGCTCAAGGACCCCTGTTCTTCCTTCTGTTCCAAAATGGGCCACTGCTACATCCAGTCCTCAGGACGTCCACAGTGTTCCTGCTTGCCTGGATGGACAGGTGAGCACTGATGGGGACAGGGAGGAGGGGACAGGCAGGAGCAGTAGGTTAGGCTGTGTAGTAAAAAAGATAACTGAGCCCTGTGAGGACAGAGGCCATGAGAATCAACAAGCCGATTCTTGGGGACCCATTTACCCAAGATTGATATTCACCAGCATGGTTGTACTAATTGTTAAAATGTTGAAATATTTCTGAACCAGTTTGTAAGTAGCTACTACCATACCCCCATTAGTGTACCACCCTGACCCCTTTCCCAACCCCCTCAACCTCCCCTCAACCCAGTAGCTAGAGAGTCAATGCCTGGCATAGCAGGGAACCTCCACATTCTGAGCACCTAAGTGGCCTCTATCTGACTGGTGGTGACTGCACGTCACTTGGAAAGACCTCAGTGGGGAGAGGTGTGATGCAGGTGGGAGAGATCTGAGCAGGGAGTAGAATGGATGCCCGGCCCAGGAGGAGCGGTGCAGCCCTGGGGCAAGAGAGCAGGACATGTGATGGGTGGAGTGTGCTACCCCGAAGAAGTGGTCAGGGTGCATGGACAGAGCTGTGAGGCCCTGGAGAGGAAAGCCCCACGGGACCAGACCAGGATAGAGGGGCTGGACCAGAAAGCAAAGGCTGTGTGGGTAAGAAAGTTTGTGGTATGTGGGCGCCTCTGTGAGGGGCAGACTAGAATCAAGGCTTCTCAAATTTGACTAGGCAGAGCAATCACCTGGAAAGCCTTAAAAATCCAATGTCCCCATCCCAGAGAGTCTGACTTAATGAGTCTAGGTAGGCCCAGAGCACGGAGATTTTTAAGCTGCCCAGGTAATTCTGGGGAAACCAGGCCTTAGACTGGGTGTGAGTCACCAGCATGTGTGACAAGGTGACTGGCCATTGGCAACTTGCCAGGCTGTGCTTCAGAGTCAGGCTCTGAGGGCAGCCCTCTCCCCAGGGCCAATGCCAGCTCTGCCACTGATTAGACTTGTGACCTAGGAGCAGATATTTAAGTTCTCTTGTCCTTGGTTGTCAGCTATGTCCACACTTCACATGGCTTTGAGAAGAGGAAAGGGGCTGGTGCCAGTACCTGGTACACGACACGAACATGGTGAATGGTGGCTGCTGCCACTGCTGCCATGCCCACTGGTGCACACAGCTGTGAAGGAATCTCCTTATCACTGTCCAGATCATTATACCCACCTAAACATTAAGAAAGCAGGATGAGAGAGGCCAGACAACTGCCCAAGGGCACACAACCAGATGTGGAGCAGCAAAGTGCTAAGTCTCCTACCTTCAGAGGAAGGATGCTTTCCACCTCCCCATCAAGTCACCACTGAAGGGACCCCGTGTCCCAGACCTTCCGAGGCAGGGCTGATTTGCAGTATTCCCATCAACAGCTACATGTCCTCTATTCAGTTTAGAAAATATGGTCGCTCCAGATATAACCCTCCCAAGAAATGGCAAAACTGAGGCAGGACAAAAAGGGCTTGGGAGGAGAGGGAAGGAAATATGAAAATTAGAGAGAGGATGCAGAGTGAGAGCTGGATTATCTCAGAAGGGCTGAAATGTGTGCAGTACTAGAAACGGCCCCTTTGTCCTCTGCCTCAGGTGAGCAGTGCCAGCTTCGGGACTTCTGTTCAGCCAACCCCTGCATGAATGGAGGGGTATGTCTAGCCACCTACCCCCAGATCCAGTGCCGCTGCCCACCTGGCTTCGAGGGCCATGCCTGTGAACACGATGTCAACGAGTGTTTCTTAGACCCAGGACCCTGCCCCGAGGGCACCTCCTGCCATAACACCTTGGGGTCCTTCCAGTGTCTCTGTCCCGCTGGGCGGGAAGGTCCACACTGTGAGCTTTGGCCAGGACCTTGCCCACCAATGGGCTGTCCCAATGGGGGTACCTGCCAGCTGGTTCCAGGGAGAGATTTCACCTTCCACCTCTGCCTCTGCCCCCCAGGTGTGTCCTCACAGGGATTTTCTGCAGCCCCTCTCTCTGGGCAGGGAGGTTGTCTCCTTTGGGTCCCCCTCCCTCAGTTGATCCCATGACCTTGTCAGGTTTCACAGGCCCAGGCTGTGAGGTGAACTCAGATGACTGCATCGGGCACCAGTGCCAGAACGGGGGTACTTGCCAGGATGGGCTGGTCTCCTACACCTGCCTCTGCCCAGAGGCCTGGACAGGTAAGTCATCGAAGCCAAGTTCATGGCACCAATGGCCGCAAAGTTCAGCCCCTGGCCTCCTTTCCTCTCAGGGTCCCCACCTCTATCCCTGGTCCCCTGCTCACTCTCCTGCAGGTTGGGATTGCTCTGAAGATGTGGACGAATGTGAGACCCGGAGTCCCCCTCGCTGCAGAAACGGGGGTACCTGCCAGAACTCGGCTGGCAGCTTCCATTGTGTTTGTGTTAGTGGCTGGGGAGGCACAGGCTGTGAGGAGAACCTCGATGACTGTGTTGCTGCCACCTGTGCCCCAGGATCCACCTGCATTGACCGTGTGGGCTCCTTCTCCTGCCTCTGCCCACCTGGCCGCACAGGTGTGGGGGAGAGGGTACAGGGAGGTGGGAGGTGGAGATGGTGTGTAAGAAAAGCAGGAGAGCAGCTAGGCACTTCAAGGAGCACTGAGAGCCTCACCCACCCTGACCTGCAGGCCTTCTGTGTCACATGGAGGACAGGTGTCTAAGTCAGCCATGCCACGGGGAAGCCCAGTGCAGCACCAACCCCCTGACAGGAGCCACACTCTGCTTGTGTCAGCCTGGCTACTCAGGGCCCACCTGCCACCAGGACCTTGACGAGTGTCAGATGGGTAAGGCACTCCCACATTATATCCTCTCTCAGTCCCCACACAGCCTCTGCACTGAAGACAGGCAAATCGTTTTCCAAATTAAAAATATAAACAACCCTCTCCCCTGAATCTGTCCAGATTTAGCATCTCTTCCCTACATGGTCATTTCACCAATGCTCAGCCTTCCAGGCCCCATTTAGTCCTGCTCCACCCTTTTTTTTTTTTTTTTAGGTGAGGCAACCCATGGTTGACCTCATAGATTGCAAGGACCTTGTCAGCTTACAATTCCTTATTTTTTATTTTTTACACCTACAGCACCTGGTCCTCCTATGTGACCTCCCATCTAAGTACTAACCAGAGCACTGAGAGCCTCACCCACCCTGACCTGCAGGCCTTCTGTGTCACATGGAGGACAGGTGTCTAAGTCAGCCATGCCACGGGGAAGCCCAGTGCAGCACCAACCCCCTGACAGGAGCCACACTCTGCTTGTGTCAGCCTGGCTACTCAGGGCCCACCTGCCACCAGGACCTTGACGAGTGTCAGATGGGTAAGGCACTCCCACATTATATCCTCTCTCAGTCCCCACACAGCCTCTGCACTGAAGACAGGCAAATTGTTTTCCAAATTAAAAATATAAACAACCCTCTCCCCTGAATCTGTCCAGATTTAGCATCTCTTCCCTACATGGTCATTTCACCAATGCTCAGCCTTCCAGGCCCCATTTAGTCCTGCTCCACCCTTTTTTTTTTTTTTAGGTGAGGCAACCCATGGTTGACCTCACAGATTGCAATGATCTTGTCAGTTTACAATCCCTTATTTTTTTATTTTTTATTTTTTTACGCCTACAGCACCTGGTCTTCCTAGGTGGTCTCCCATCCAAGTACTAACCAGGCCCGACCCTGCTTAGCTTCCGAGATCAGCCGGGATCGGGCTTGTTCAGGGTGGCGTGGCTGTAGACAGTCCTGCTCCAACTTAAAAACACAAGCCCTTTCGCCAGTTTGGTTCTATCTGCTACAAACAGGCCCCCATGGCCTTCCTGGCAGTCTGGCTTCCTTGCCCTGTGGACTCTGGCTCTTCTCTCCTCCCAGCCCAGCGAGGCTCCAGTCCTTGTGAACATGGCGGCTCCTGCCTCAACACCCCCGGCTCCTTTGACTGCCTCTGTCCCCCTGGCTACACGGGCTCCCGCTGCGAGGCTGATCACGATGAATGCCTGTCCCAGCCCTGCCACCCAGGCAGCACCTGCCTGGACCTGCTGGCCACCTTCCACTGCCTCTGCCCACCAGGTACCAGCTGGATGGGGGCCTTGGGTAGAAGAGTCAAGGGACTAATTCTGAATCCACGTGGCATGGCCCCTCCAAGGCATAGGTAGCTCAGGCCAGTCAGGGCAGTTACCAAAAAATGCTTCTCTTCCTCTCCCCTACCCCAGATGAAAATTCTGGGAAATCCATGGTCTCTGGGAAAAGGGCTGCCACAGATGATAGTGAGGTTATGCCCTGCTCAACTCTGAAGGTGTGGGGGAAGCATTCATTTCATAGTCATTGTAGAGTATACAACCTGGTCCACTGTACAAAAAGGAGAGCAGAATAGCAGTTAATAAACTCTTCAAGCTGCAGTCTCTGCTCACGCCAACTCAAAATGCTCCTCCTAATCACAGAAATTCTCCTCTGCAGAGATTGAGAATAAAGCTTTCATAAAGCTTTGGAGTCCCAAAGAGCCTGTGTGCTTGAATTTGATACAATAGGAAAGGAATGCTACAAAGTTGCACCCACCTCCAAACTAGGTTGAAGGGGTAAAAGTCTCCCCACAGAGACAGTGACAGAGCCAATATCAGGGAGTGGAATGAAACCAGAAAAATAAAAGTTTGTTTTGTGCCAGGTACCACCTGAGCAGCTTATTATACCCGCTGCATTATCTAATCTTCACAATAACCCTATGAGGTCAGAATTGTGATTACATCCATTTTATAAACGAAGAAACTGAACGCAGAAAGGTTAAATGACCTGTCCAAGGTCACCCAGCTTATAAGTGACAGAGTCAGGATTCAAACCCAGGGCTTTAATAGTGTTAACCACTACATATACTGCCTTCCTAAACTGAGCAGCTTCCAAGGAAAAATACTGAGCAAACTGTTCGATAATCCAGGGGACAAGACTGTAGACATCAAGGAGCTTCAGAGGCAGGTTTCCCAGGCAAGAAGAGGGAGGCAGCTGTGGTCCGGAGGCTGATCCAGCTTCAGTTCAGGGTGAGATAGTGGAGACCAAGATGAACCAGAAAAAAAAAAAAAAAACAGGACAAATAAGGGAGCAACACAGCTTCCCAAATGCCTCCTTTGGGGATCCCTGGTCCCCTTGGCATAGATGACTGCCCCGGTAGAACAAGAGTGAATCACCTCCAAGCAGATGCCCACTTGTTTCATTTGTTCCGTTGGGACCTCCAAGCTGATCGGCCCAACCTCCATGCACAGAGGAATGACCCCAAAACACACTTTACACCTTCCCATAAGTCCCGGCAGGTACCCTGCTCCTTGAGCTTCCTCACCTGCACAGGGCAGAGCTACACAGCAGAGCAGCAAGGCCTCATGGTTCATCTCTCCAACCCAAATGCAGATAGGCTGTCTGATGCGAGCACACAGCAGGTGGGAGCAGGGCTGGCTCTAGAGGCTGGGCCTCCTTGAGCAGAAGGGGTGAGCAGCCAAGGCAAGTGGAAGGGGTGAAAACCTTGCCTCTCACCACAACTCCATGTCCTCAGGCTTAGAAGGGCAGCTCTGTGAGGTGGAGACAGATGAGTGTGCCTCGGCTCCTTGCCTGAATCAGGCTGGCTGTCAAGACCAGCGCAACGGCTTCCTGTGCATCTGCATGCCCGGTGAGTGCAGATTCCACTCCAGACTCCTCGGCCTCCAATCCTCTGAGCTTCCACAGTTCAGGACCAAGGCCTCTTGAAGCTCTCTCTAGCCTACCAAAAAGTCCCATTTCTCCAACTTCTCTGCTCCCTAAACTCTCTTCTGTTACATCTCTCAAATCTTCCCTTGCTTACCTGCCTACCCTCATCTCTGTCCTGCCAAATCACCCCCAAGCCCTCCTTCCCAGACCTCCCTCAGAGTCTTCTGCATGTCAGGGTCCCAGGCTGATCCTGGCACTGCTCACCACAGATGCAGCGAGAGCTGCTTCAGGTCTCCTCCAAGTGCACTGGACATCCCTCTGTCCCCTGCTGTGACAATAACTGGTGTTTATTGAATATTTACTCCAGACCATGTACTTGGCTCTGTACTTTTCAGGCATTATCTAGTTTACTTCTTTCAATGGTACCCTGAGGTAGGTTCCATTATTAATCCTCTTTGCAGAGGAGGAAGTTAGAGCCCAGAGGGGTCGAGTAGCCTGCCCAAAGTCACACAGCTGGCAGGTGGCTGAGTCTCACCTTCATCCTCACCTACCCCAGGTGTCTTCTCTGGGAAGCCTTCTAGGTCCACCTTTCCTGGCCAGGGGAAGAGCCAGGACTGGTATTTATGCTTTTGGTAAAATGCATAAAATATACTAATTTTTAGCATTAGTACATATATCCAGTTGTGCCTTATGTTTACGAAGAATAAAGTTACCAAGGTATCCTGTTACATCCTAAAACTCAAATCACTATTTGAGAAGCCCTCAAATTGGCACTTTCATTATATAATGATAAGTTTAGACAAAACCCCAAACCAAGCCATTTGATCTGTAGCAATGTTATTTCTGTATATGTAAAGAGAATGCTAAATATCAGTTTAAACTCTTAAGTTCCTGTTTAAGTCCAATAAATCACACCTATAAAGCTCAAATATTTATAACGAACTCCCTAAAAAATCTAGAGAAATAAAAGATGACCTTCACCACCTGCCCCCACCCACTCCCTGCCCCACCAGGATTCACAGGCTCCCGGTGTGAGGAGGACATCAACGAGTGCAGAAGCTCTCCCTGTGCCAATGATGGGCAGTGCCAGGACCAGCCTGGATCCTTCTATTGCGAGTGTCTCCAAGGTAAACTGGGACTCAAACACACTGGAGGTAGAGTAAGAGACAAGGGGCTGACTTTCATGCAGGTCCCTGACGCTCCTGCTGTGTCATAGGCTTCGAAGGCCCGCGCTGTGAGGTGGAGGTGGATGAGTGTCTGAGTAGCCCATGTCCCAGTGGCGCCAGCTGCCTTGATGTCCCAGGATCCTTCTTTTGCCTCTGCCCCTCTGGCTTCACAGGTCAGGAGGAGAGCCATTGGCAAGGACTTGTGGGGATATTTGAGTCCATTGGGGGTGGGGCAGAGGTCATTGGTGGGTGTTTAAGGGTTGAGATATGAGAAAAGAATGAGAATGGAACTTCATTCACTGCAAAACCTGCACAACTATACAACCATGGGGCTGAGGGAGCGTATTATTCTAGGGCCCATATTGGGCCCAACATGTATGGTGTGATTGGGGTTTAGGAGCAGAGGACAAGTTTCTAAGGGAAGCCATTCATTTGTTTGTTTAGCAAGCATTTATTAAGTGCCAACTATGCCAAAGTTGAGTAAGAGAGTCGCTATCCTCAAGTGGCTTTAAATCTAGAGGAGAAAACCAACAAGTCTCTTATTGATTATGGCCCAGAGGTGTGATCCTAGGAGCGCAAAGGACCCACCAACCCAGACTAGAGATGAGAAGGCTTCATGAGCTGAGTCTTAATGAGTAGGAGTTTGTCAAGACAGAATGCCACAGCGTGTGTTTCAGCTGCAAATAACCACATGTGCATTCATGCAGGGAGAAGAAAAGCACACCCCACTTCAAGAACTAGAGGACACTCAGAGCTTACGGGGCAATGGCAAAGAAACACAGCAGTTGTAGGAAGATTGTCTTGCAGAGCCCCATGTGTCATTCTGAGAAAGTTGACAGTATTCTAAGGCAATAGGGAGCCACTGAAAGACAGATTCATGAGCAGTGAACACATCATGTGTAGGAAGTGGTCGAGGACATGGAGGAACCCTGTTTTCTTTCTGACCTATTTCCCCACCCCAGGTCATCTCTGTGAGTTTCTCCTGTGTGCCCCCAACCTATGCCAGCCCAAACAAAAATGTCAGCATCAGGAAGACAAGGCCCACTGCCTCTGCCTCGATGGAAGCCCTGGCTGTACCCCCATTGAGGACAACTGCACTTGCCACCATGGGCACTGCCAGAGGTAACATCTTCCAGGCCCTGCCCCATTTGCACTAGCCTGTAGGTCCTCAGCTAAGCAGGAGAATATAGCCAGTAAGGGGCAAATCTATGGGAAATAACCAATGGAGAAGAGCAAGGAGATGGCAAAGTTTCGATGTCACAGCCAACGGAAGGGCTCAACTGGTGAGTGTTATCCAACGAGGGTCAAGTTCATAAATAATGGGGGAATCAAATGATTACAGGGTCAGAGCGAAAAGAAGAGCATTAAATCCCAGGGCCAATTCATCATTTATTAGACAAATATTTATTGAACATCTATATGTGTGGAAGACAAGGCCCACTGCCTACTGTTCTAGGGACTGAGGGAACAGCACGGAACAAAAGAGACAAAGTGTCTGGTCTCAAAGATTTTCATTCTAATGAAGATAGACAATAAATAAATCATGGAAGGAATATATATACCTAGTTAGAGAAAATGAGCATGGGAGAGGTGAAAGGAGGGAATACCGAGAGCGAAGTCACTGAAGAAAGGGGCCAGAGCCTCAGGGCCGAAAAAGAGGTCATAGGGTCTGACCAGTGGGAAGGGGAGAGGAGAAATACACTAGAAGAGAAAAACTTCCCATTTCTCTTTATGACCAGATCTTCATGTGTATGTGACGTGGGTTGGACAGGACCAGAGTGTGAGGCGGAGCTGGGGGGTTGTGTCTCCACGCCCTGTGCCCATGGAGCGACCTGCCATCCCCAGCCTTCTGGCTACAACTGCACCTGCCCCATAGGCTATACAGGTGAGGTGCTCCCTAAACCACATACACCCTGGGCTGGCCACTTGCTAAATCAAAGGCAAGGCCAGTTGTGACGTGTGTCCAAGGGCTCTGGGTCCTAGTCACCACCAAAGGGAAATGGGCATGGGCTGCCGAGGACATAAGTAATATGTGTGAGGTGGTGAAAAAGAAAAGAGGTTGTGTAAGGAAGCATAGGGATGGGGATGAGAAAAGGAAAGGAAGGGAAAGGGAGGAGTGAGAGGAGGAGAGAAAGGGAGGGCTTCCTTTCTCAGACCCTACCCACTTCCCTCAGGGCCCACCTGTAGTGAGGAGGTAACAGCTTGTCACTCTGGGCCCTGTCTCAACGGTGGCTCCTGCAGCCTCAACCCTGGAGGCTACTCTTGCATCTGCCCTCCAAGCCACACCGGGCCCCACTGCCAGACCAGCACTGACCACTGTGCCTCTGGTGAGTGCCTACTATGCCCTGGGGCTGGGCCGAGAGAGGATGGAGGACCTGGTCAGGGTGTGCTTGTGCCATATTCAAAAAAAAAAAAAAACTAGACAGTGAGCTGGTGTTCTGATGGTGTCTGGGGGGTGAGGTGGGGAGGTGATGTCCTATATGCAGTGTGACTGAGGTTACAGGCAAGAAACCCAACCCCTCACAGTCTCCTCTCTCCAGCCCCGTGCCTCAATGGGGGCACCTGTGTGAACAAGCCTGGCACCTCCTCCTGCTTCTGTGCCATGGGCTTCCAAGGCCCACGCTGTGAGGAAAGGATCTATCCCAGCTGTGCAGACAGGTAAGCAGGGTGCAAAGACCCCTGGAGGAAGGGAGGGAGCCCCTCAGCCTTCCCATCCTTCCTCTCCATCTTCTCTGGGGCTTCAGGCTGCCTCCCAACCCACAATCAATATCCTTTCACTCTGCCTTCCCTCCTGGTTTCCCATCTCCCTAGTAGTTGCCCCTCCTACCACATCATACTCCTTCTCCCTTATTTCCTGGGCCTTTTCCCCCTTGTCCAGCCCCTGTAGGAACATGGCTACCTGCCAAGATGGCCCCCAGGGTCCCCGCTGCCTCTGCCCCACTGGCTATACAGGAAGCAGCTGTCAGGTGAGGGGCGCTGAGCCAGGTGTGATAAGGAAGGAGGGGCTGGAGCTCTAGTGAGAGGGTCTCAGGTACTAAAAGGTGTGCAGCTGGGAAGTTTGGGCGAGGAATCCACATGAAGAGAGGTTTGGAAGTCTAGGAGTTGAGGTCTAGCTTGAGGTCTGTATGGAAGTGAAGGACTGAAAGGATGTCTTATCCCAGGGGCCGTTCTGGGATGTGAGTATCCAAAGAAACCAGGGAGGGCTACCTGGTCCCAGACCATTCAAGGGAGAGTTTTAGAGGTAAGGGATTTTGAGGAGCAAGGGTTGGCAGAGGACCATCTCTGAGCCTGGGAACCTGATGATCTGTCCTACCTCATGCTCCCTCCCAACCCTCAGACTCTGATGGACTTATGTGCCCCGAAGCCCTGCGCACACAATTCCCACTGCCTCCAGTCTGGGCCCTCCTTTCAGTGCCTGTGCCTCCAGGGATGGACCGGGCCTCACTGCAACATTCCACTCTCCTCCTGCCAGAAGGCCGCCCTGAGCCAAGGTACCAACCCAAGGACTACCTGGGGAGCGGATAAAGAGGAAAAGGGTGCCCTCCTCTATGCCATCCCTAAGGGCATCCACACATAACATTTGGCCAAAACAACCATCACAGTCGAAGCAACACAGACCAACTACAGTGATTGATTCTATAGCTCAACACCCAGGGCAGCCTAACAAAACTCAGCTCCTAGCATCACAACCAATGCAACTGAAGCAACAGCAACCAACGCAGTCAACAAGATTCCAGTTTAACACAACCACCAGGAACCTAACTCAGAGTGGAGTAACTCAATTCTGTCATTATCATCTCAACTAGAGGGGACCACATTTAAGCCAACTGCACTCAACACATTTCGCTGCACTCCACTCATTTGATGTTACACCAACCCCCTTATAAAAGAATAGCCCTGTGTTCAAGCGAGATTTGATATGAGAAGACCTCAGGAAAGAGACTTGTGGGGTGAGGGGTGGTTGGTGGGAGTAACAGTAAGAACATCGGAAGATGCAAAACTCAGTGGACAGACTGAAGCTATTAGTTAACCCGCATGCCCGTATATGAAGTTCCCCTTGAGTTCTTTCTTGATTGAGACTTGTTCTAAGACAAGAATACAGTCGCTTCTAATGCTCTAATAAGCCTAAGAGATATCTCCCTCCATTCTTGCAGAATAGGCAGGAGGGGGAACTTGATGTTTTAACCTCTTTAGTGTCAGGAGGTACTGACTCCTTAGGCTTCCACCTACTCTGGGAATGTTTATGGTCTCCAAGGGCCCCTGAGCAGACCCTTCCACCCCACTTAACTTTATTATTTGTCTCTCTGCCCAGGCGCAGAAGTCTCTTCCCTATGCCAGAATGGAGGCCTCTGCATTGACAGTGGCCCATCCTATTTCTGTCACTGTCCCCCTGGATTCCAAGGCAGCATGTGCCAGGACCGGGTAAACCCATGCGAGTCCAGGCCCTGCCAGCATGGGGCCACATGTGTGGCCCAGCCCAGTGGGTATCTCTGCCAGGTGAGCAGGTCTAGAAGGGGGTGGGGTGACAAGGATGGGCTGGACATGGGAAACAGTAGTCATGGGGAGCAGTGATATCCATCTCCCTTTACTTTACCCACACATCCAGCCAACCACCAAGATATGCTATTTTACCTCCTCAATAGTTCTCAACTCTGTCCTTGCCCTTTTACCCTTCATCCACTGCCTTAGTCCAGGTCTTTGTTGCATTCCACCTGGACACCTGCACCAGCCTCCTATCATCATCCCTGCCTCCACATTTGTCCTCCTAGGGGCTCAGCCTTTGCTCTCCTACCAGGGTGCTCTATTAAAGTGTTAAGATGACCTGTCGCTCCCCTGCTTAAAACATTTAGGTGGGCTGCCCACCTCTTTCACAATGAAGTCCAAGGTCCTGCATGACCCAGCCTTGCTTGCCTCAGCCTCATCTCCCCCCATCCCACCCTCCTATTCTGCTTCGGCAACAGGAA